CACCCCTTGCTTCCCCCCCCACATACATACACATACACATACATACATACGCATACATACATACATCCATAGCAAAGTCTAAGTGTTGCTGGTGTGAATTCTCACACAGGAGGCCACATGCCAGAGTGAATGAAGCGGTGAGCATTGTATCATTTGATTGGGAGTTAGATTTGTTGTTTTTCACTGTTGCAAAAGTTTCTTTCAGTGGCAAGGATCACAGATATGCATTTTTCTAGGCATCATTTTAAAAAAATATGTTTTCATTGATTTCAGAGAGAGGAAGAGAAAAAGAGAGACAAACATCAACGATGAGAGGGAATCACTGATGGGCTGCCTCCTACACATCTCTTACTGGGGATCGAGCCTGAAACCTGGGCATGTGTCCTGACCAGGAATCAAACCGTGACCTCCTGGTTCATATGTCAATACTCATTCATTGAGCCACACTGGCCAGGCTAGGCATCTTTTTTTAAAAATCATACAACACAGGTGTTTGCAAGGCTGCAGGGGTGGAGTACTCACCTTCCTGCCGTTTCAATTCCTCCTCATCAGTTCAGTCTCGCTCAGATGTTCCCGTTCCACGAAGCCTTTCTTCAGCCCCCGACCCTGTGTCATGTACCTTGTCACGCTAGGTATCGAACGCCTGTCTGCCCCGATGGCTCACAATCCTCTTGAGCACATTGGCGGTGCCTGTGCTTCTCTTAGGTGCCCTGCTGCCTGGAGCAGGTATGGGCAATGTCATGGGAGCAGCATACGCCCAAGTACCACCCAGACCGGGGCCAACGAGGACGTTGGGAACGGCCCACCTCTGCTTGTCCCGGAGGTTTTGCGCCGACGTGGGGCACGCTGCAGCCTCAGGCCTTTCACCCCCGCGCCTGGGGAGCCGGGCGGAGAGGGCTGCAGGTGTTCCTGGGAAAGAGAAGTCAGGCTGCTTTAGAACTCGCCACTTCAGAACGTGTGGGGGTCAGAGGTTGTGAGAAGTGCTTTGGAAGACGAGGGGTTTGGGTTGATGTCATCCCAGTGAAAGCCGAGTCCCGAGGTCCTCTCTGTGATGCTATTTAAAGCCACCGCTTCCTGCCCCGTGGGCTCCGGAGCCCGCTTCCTGCCCGCCGGGATGTGTGTGATTGACGATCCGTGTCTCTTGGAGATTGCTTTTTAAGATCGTCCTCAAACGCCGGTGAGATCGGATGAAAGCTGCGGCCCTTCCCAGCGTCAGAGCCCTGTGGTTCGGTGATTCACAGCCGGAGCCACTAAACGGCGGGAAGGAAGCATTTTTGGAGAAGCCACACTTGGGCTCTGATCAGGGTCATTTACTATTTATAAGTGAAATTCAGCCCGTGACTGTGGTGTAGCTGAAAATCGGCTGGTGTTTCTAACTTGACTGCCCTTGACTCTGTGGTCCCCTGTAATTCTTCCACATTAAAAAAATAACGCTTGGTCTTCCGATTCCTTCTGGAACCTTGTGCACCTCACTTCAAAGAGTAGCGCCCTGTCTCTCCAGTGCTCAGGTCCTTCACGGGGCCTTTCTCTTCCTTCTCCGATAACTGATGTTCTGTGCAGGGTGGAGTCCCACCCCCTTCTCAGATGCTGAAGGGGGAGCTGCTGCTATTAAATGAGGGTGTCGCCAGGCCCCGGGAAGTCTGGATCCAGCCGCCAGCCTCGTCTCCTCCCTGTGGGGGTGCGGGGGGGACAGGCCCAGGGACCTAAAGCCAGCTGGGGAACAAAGTTCTGCTTCACTTTTCAGGCGAGGCTAGTTAATAAGGTGACCAGACAGTCCTGATTTTTAACAATTTGTCCCGCGTCCTGCAGCGTTTTAAAAAAGTCCAAAAGATTTAAAAGATTCTTCCCAAAAATCGGGACTTTTTTAAAACACTGAGGGACACGGGACAAATGGTTTAAAATCAGGACTGTCCCGCCAAAAGCGGGACGTCTGGTCACCTGAGGCTGGCACCCACTCACCGGCTAACCAGAGCTCCGGGGTGCCTCCCCCTCCCGTTGCATCTGCGGCTTGAGATTCTGCGCTCCCTTTCTGGCCACAGGACCCAGAGGCTCCAGGCGGATGGGCAAGAGTGCCGAGAGGGCTGGCGGGACTTGTCAGGAGCCCATCTGTAGAACACAAGTGAAGAGGAAGTGAAGAGGAGGGGAGGTGGAGAGGTGTGTCTTTTGACACTTGGCCACTCCAGACACTAACAAACGTGGCTCAGTGAGGCCCTGGCACTTCCACTGGTCAGATGAGTGGCGCTCCTCACAGCAGGGGGTGGGGGGGGCAGTAGGGGGCAGCCAGGAGCCCCGCCCTGGGAGAATGGGGCTCCTTATTTGAAACATGAAGGGATGCGAGCAGATGATCCTGAAGAGTCTTTCTAGTTTCAGCATCTGTCACTCCAAACACACCAGCCTTTTCACCCGGTGCCCCTCCCCCCCCGCCCCCCCAGCACTCCTGCTGCGCAGAAGCAGGCATGGGCACATCCTCTTCTGAGGCTCGGGAGCCAGGAGTCATTTGCTTCCCACAAGAAGTCGTCTGGCAACGAACGGATGCATGCAAGCAGGTGCAGGCCCAGAGAGCTAAGTCAGATTTAGAAAAGGAGATGGGAAGCCATTTTAAATTATTTTTTCTTGCTGCTTTACATTTTTTTTTTTTTTGCTGCTTTATATCTTCCTATACTTTCCATAATGACCATATATTATCCTATGTAATAAAAGCATAATATATTGTGTGTCCGGTCATCTGGTTGGCCCTTCAAAGCTTAATATGCTAATGATATGCTAAGGCTGTTCAACCACTTGCTTGCTATGATGTGCACTGACCACCAGGAGGCAGATGCTTCGACTGGTAGGTTAGCTTGTCGCTGGGGTCAGGCCCATCGGGACTGAGCGAGACAGGCCAGACACACCCTGGAGCCCTCCTGCAGTCCCATCCTGGCTGACCAACCTCTCGCATCTGTCTGGGCCCCGATCGTGCACGGGTAGGGTCCCTCGGCCTGGCTGCGCCCTCTTGCAATCAGGGACCCCTTGGGGAGATGTCCAAGAGCCAATTTCGATCCAAGAGCGGAACTACTGGTCACTATGATGTGCACTGACCACCAGGGGGCAGATGCTCAACGCAAGAGCTGCTCCTGGTGGTCAGTGCGCTCCCACAGAGGGTGCCACTCGGCTGGTGGAACATTCATTGCCTCCCCGGCAGTCGGCCATCCCCCAAAGTGCTCCTGGACTGGAAGAGGGTGCAGGCTGGGCTAAGGGAAAAAGGGAAAGGGAAAAACTAAGTGAAGCAACTGACAGGGAAAAACAGTTCCTCTTTGGAAGGTGGAAAGAGATATGTGTGTGTTGAATTGTGGGAGAGCAGCGACAATGGAGCAACTAAATTTAGTGCCGAGCTTCCTGGAAACCAGGGCACAAAGGGAAACCGGGCGGGGCATGAGATTGTTGCCTGATAAGGTAAGCATACAATTCCATCCGCGGGCATACGTGTTTTGGGGGCAGTGCATTCTAAGAGGGGTATTTATATAAGCAGTGCTGAGAATCATAGTAGAACATGCCATCCATTGCCGGTTTGTAGAAATAGTGCTAATGTTCTTTAGAAGGCGGTGTTTTAGATTCTCCATCGGAGCTGCCGGTGTAATGACGGATCTCGACTCATGGAAGTATTTCTGTGGGCGCTGAGCTAATGCGGTCCAGGTAGATGGCTTTGTGGCGGTTCCACTTTGTAAGAAGAGAGCATAGGTCACAGGGAGGTAGCCTATGTCTCTGAGCTGAGCCGCTTCGGCTGGATTGTCGGCAGGTTCTGGGAAGCAGCCAGGCCCAGGGTGAGCATTCTGGTGCGGGCCTGAGGCCCCCGCGTTTGTGCTGGGAGGGGAGTCTGACCCTCACCCGTGGCCAGCCGGGGAGGTGTGCTCTTCATCTCCTGTACGGAGTCGGGGAGCGGGGCTTGCTTCTGCTCCCCCCTGGCTGGTCTCCCCGTGTTTGAACGGCTGCTGTGTGGACAGGCGTGAACAAGGAGAGGCGGCTACTAGCTCATCATCGTTAGAGCTGGCCCGTTCGGTTAGAAACGTGGGAAACGCGCCCCCCCCCCCCCCGTATGCAGGCGCTCAGTTAGCAGTGTGAGCGGCGACCGCCGATTAGTGTGACCGAACATGTTGTCCTTTCAGTAAGAGGCAGCACGCCGGGGAAGCCTTCACACTGCTGCAGAGCCGGAACCGAGAGGGCCCCGTGAGGTTACGAGGCACAGCGCATGAAGCGCTTCCTTGGCACAGTACATACAGGCGCGCACACAGTCCTGGCCCACCGCCAAGGCCAGTCCGTGGCAGCTTTTCACGACGACGATAACGAGGGGGCGAAGCAGGTGCTCCACGGAGCCCTCGGGGTCAGGGAGGACACGGCCACCTCCCTGCTGTGGCCGTCGGCATCGGTGCCTGTTGTCATTGTGTTTCTGCCCGTGGCTTCGCTGGACAGGCAGTCACGCCCAGTCCAGTGTAACCACTGCTGCACATTGAATTGACGAAATAATAAAGTTTCCTGGGAATGGAAGTGCCTCGGAAGAGCAACTGGCAACCCAAGGAGGCTGCAACTTGATGGATTTACTTATTTATTTATTTATTTATTATTTTTTTGAGGGGCAGAGGGGTGGATTTACTTATTTACTTATTTATTATTATTATTATTATTTTTTATTTTTTTTTTTGAGGGGCAGAGGGGTAGACCAGGCTGGTCTGACACCCATGTGTGGCATCGGAGCGGGGGGTGGAGGGGGCATATCTCCACTGCAGAGGCCTCCTGTGAGAAGCAGGGGGTCCCAGGCCCACACCAGTCGCCTAGAGCTGGGAATAGAAGCCCCTGTGATTTCGGGCAGTAAAAACCAGCAGGGGTTATGGCTGAGGGACACGGAGGCTGCTGGAGACCCAGGCAGTCCGTCTTACAGGGCTGGCACCTTGAGCTCCTGTGCATTGGCTCAGAGGAGAAAGAACTGGGCTGTCTGGTGGGCGGGCAGGAACTCGGGCGTGGCTTTCCCTCAGACAGAGGTGCTGCTACGAGTCTTTGTTTCTGGGCTGGGCCCTGCTCCCTCGGCAGAGCGGACTGGCAGCCCTGTCTGAGTTCCCGTAAGGGCGGCTCCGTGTTCACTACACTAGGACGATTCCCCGAGGCCATCCAGTCTGCACCCACACCCAAGCTGTTCGCAGCTCCTTTCCCACATGAATGGCCTGTCCTGGCTCAGACTTCAGACTTAACCTAAAGTCTCCTAACACAAGCAGCCGCTGGCGTCAGGGTGCCCCACACCTACCCGTAAGAGGCCCAGGCGCCCTCGCTGGTTTGTCTCTGTGGTTAGCACGTCCTCCTTTGGATTTAAAGGTCCAGGGCTTGCCGAAACCGGTTTGGCTCAATGGATAGAGCGTCGGCTTGGGGACGGAAGGGTCCCGGGTTCGATTCTGGTCAAGGGCATGTACCTTGGTTGCGGGCATATTCCCAGTAGGGGGTGTGCAAGAGGCAGCTGATCGATGACTCTCTCGTCAACATTTCTGGCTCTCTATCTCTCCCTTCCTCTCTGTAAAAAATCAATAAAATATATTTAAATAAATAAATAAATAAATAAAGGTCCAGGGCTTGATTCCAGTCAAAAGCACGTGCCCCAGTGTGGGCTAACTCGGTGGGTGTACCAGGCGTCCTCAAACTTTTTAAAGTGGGGGCCAGATCACGGTCCCTCAGAGAGCTGGAGGGCCGGACTATATGAACTACTAATTCCTACTGTAACACCTCGGCTGCGCTCACTGCCCAAAAAACCTGGCGGGCCGGATCAGACTCCTCTGCGGGCCGCATGTGGCCCGCGGGCCGTAGTTTGAAGATGCCTGTGTCATGAAGGGAGGCCTGAGGGGCTTGGGCTGGGGGAGGATTTGGGAAGTATCGATCCTCAGTGTGCTTTCCTTGTGTCAGACTGAGGAGTTTTTGTTCTAAGCAGAGGTGGGCGTAGGCAAGCTGGGACTCTGTGTTTGTGCCTGGCTCCTTTTCCCTTGTTTTCATTACTACCGTGTTTCCCCGAAAATAAGACATCCTCCGAAAATAAGACCCACTTACAGGTTTCCTTCTGAGTGAAATATAAATCATCCCTCCCGAAAATAAGGCCCCCCCCTCCCCCAGGCTAAACATGAGAGATTTGGTCCACTGATTCTGAAAGAAATGGAGTCACAAGAAATTCACCAGGAAATTCAGGAATTGGATTGTTATGATGATGTTCCAGAAGATGATGACATGATTGTCATTGAATAAATTAGTCAATTCTTGATACTGTAGGATTCACAGTTTGTCTGGTTTGTGTTGACAACTACCGTACTACCGTACCGTATACAGGTAATAAATTTCCTTTATTTTCATTTAACAATAAATGTGTATCGTATTCTTCTTCATGGAAAAATAAGACATCCCCTGAAAATAAGACCTACCGCATCTTTAGGAGCAAAAATTAATATAAGACACTGTCTTATTTTCGGGGAAACAGGGTAGTTGTACGGATTGCCTGCATCTTCACTTTGTCTCCATACAGGGCCGGTGGCCGGAGCTGCCGGGTGTGGGCTGGGTGGTAGGCACAGCTGGGCTATGGTTTGTGTGCGAGTATGAGGAAGCTTTGCATTTCTAGCCTCTTTCTGGTTATACTTAATATTTATTTGCGCTTTTGGTCAGAACTGCACATAGGACTGGCCTTCAAGGAAACATTAAACATGAGAACTTTCTTTTTCCTTTCCTGGGTCCTAATTCACAGCTTGAAACCTTTCATTATTAGGTAGAAAGTCCTTTTCATGATTTTTGGTTGAAAAAGAACAACGACCCTCTTTTTTTTTCTTGCCTTTGGATCTCGCCTGGGTGCTTCTTCCCACTCGCCAGCCTTTCCTACAGGCTGCTCCTGTGTGGGATGAGGCTTTCGCGTGCCCCCTGAGGTCTGTGCCCGGGTGCCCTGCGGAAAGTTCTTTGTGAGCAAGCGACCTGGGCAGACGGTGCGATGTGGACGGTGGTGCATAACTCAGTTCTCAGAGGCTCCTGATGATTAACCCCGGCTCTGCCAGGGGCTCATCAGAAAAACCATCTCCCCCCCCCCCCCCCCCCCCCCCCCCCCCCCCGGCCTGCAGTCCGTAGTCTCCTAGGGAACCTTGTAGAAGGTAAACATAAGGGCTGCCTCTGGAGCCTGAAGAGGTGACGTGGGAGAACGGAGCCTGTTTGCTCTGGGCTGGAATTAAGTCACATCCGTGGGGTGACAAGAACGGTCTCCTGCTGGTTAGAAACGCTCCTACTTAATAAATGCATTTCATCCCATCGTCTTTCAAACCAGAAGATTCACGGTTGCCCTGAGGGGGGAAGTAATAGCGAACCCTCGGTGGTGATGGGCCGCGAATTGTTGTTCTGGGTGGGGTTCCCGCTGGGCAGAGCCCGAGGCCGCCTCAGCGGTGAGGGACCTGGGTGCCCGAACGGCCCACTGCATGCATTTTTATGTATGGGGTTTCTTCGATAATGGCATTTAACCGTAAGGTTACAGCTGCTAACATAAAGCAAGCAAAAACCTGTACTTTACCACACTGGCCTGCCTGTGTAAGTTGTAAGGTGAATTCAAGAGTACTCATTTCTTCCTGTGCAGAAGCCAAGGCGGCCCTGGCCGGGGGCTCAGTGGTTGGAGCGCCAAGGTTCCCACGTTCAATTTCCATCAAGGGCTCATACCTGGGTTGCAGGTTCCTCGTCCCGGTTGGGGTTCATTGGGGAGGCAACGAATTGATGTGGTTCTCTCACATCAATGTTTCTCTCTCTCTCTCTCTCTCTCTCTCTCTCTCTCTCTCTCTCTCTCTCTCTCTCAACTCTCCTGCTCTCCCTGCCTTCTACTCTCTCTACAATCAATAGAGGGAGGGGTGGAATATCCTCCAGTGAGGATTAACAACAACAAAAAATGTGTTTATCTGCCAAAACCGGTTTGGCTCAATGGATGGAGCATCGGCCTGCAGACTCAAGGGTCCCAGGTTCGATTCTGGTCAAGAGCATGCACCTTGGTTGCCGGCACATCCCCAGTAGGGGGTGTGCAGGAGGCAGCTGATTGACCTTGCTCTCTCATCGATGTTTCTAACTCTCTATCCCTCTCCCTTCCTCTCTGTAAAAAAAAAAAAAAAAAAAGTGTTTATCTCTATCAGGTCCACATGATCTAGATTTATCTACCAAAATGTAGTAGACATTATTTGTATCTAGATATAGCCCTGATTTCCCTCTCTCTCTCCTTCTCTCTCTCTCTCTCTCTCTCTCTCTCTCTCTCTCACACACACACACACACACCCTCCCCACCCCCCAGGAGTCTTGAAGCTTTTTTTTCTTTCTCCATTTTAGCTTCTGGAAGTATGGATGAGCTAAACCACTCCACTGCGCCTCAAAGCCCCTGGGTCAGCTGGGCAAAGAGTGTGCAGGTTGCCACCACCTTCCCCAGTGGTGTCCCCAGGGGGACCCCGTCTTTAGCTGTCAGCGCGGGACAGCTGAGCGACACAGAAAGTCTCTCTGAGGACGCGGAAGCCACCCCAACGTCAGCATCAGCTCATTCCTCACCGGCCGTGGCAGAACTGAGGAGAAACGCCGGAATGACCGGGAGGCTGGGGGACGGCACATTCAGTGAGGCCTCCACGGAAAATGGATTTGGTCTCACATCTTCTGAGGTCTCAGCGGGATTGTGGCAAAATGATTCCCCAGGTAAGTATTCAATTTTGCTTGATCTATTATAAACATTTAGAAATTGTTGGCACATTACCCATCACCGAAAGGTTTGAGTTCAACTTCTGGTCAGGGCAGATATCTAGGGAAGTGTATGGTAGGCAACCAATCCATGTTCCTCTTCTCTCTCTCTTCCCTCCCTTTCGCCCCCCCCCCCCGCCTCTCCCCTCCCCCAGCCCCCGTCCTCCTCCTCTCTGTGAAATCGATGGAAAGATAACCTTGGGTGAGGATTAAAGAAAAATGCATTGTTGGATTTTCTTAAGGGATGGCTTCCAGACCATTTACAGTCTCTAAGAAAAATCATGTCCCTCTATGGCACCATCTCTTCTCCGGTATATCACATTATCACACTTGGATTGGCATCCTTATGAAACAGTGTAAAGTGCACCCAGCAGGCGTTCCTCCTGCTTTTCTGTAGGTGGCGAAACCAAGGGTCAGGGGTTTAGGCAGAGCTGCGACCTCAGCCTCGGACCCTTCGCTGCTGAGTGGGTCTTGTCACTGCAGCATTGTCTCCAAAGGGAGAGCTGCCTCTTTAAAACTAGTTTGAGTTACTTTATAGATCATTGTCAGGACTACACTGTGCAGATACACACGGAGTGGCCAGGTTATTATGATCTCTGAATGCATAATCATCTGGCCACTCAGTGTATGTGTGTATATAATTCGTGCATAGGTGGGGTCCGGCCAGCCTGGCCAGGGGGAGGGGACAGGGGCGGTTGGCTGGTCTGCCTGCTGGTCGAACTCCTGGTCAAGGGAACAATTTGCATATTAGCCTTTTATTATATAGGATATACACCGAGTAGCCAGATTATTATGCGTGGGCATAATAATCTGGCCACTCAGTGTAAATATATTCCCCAAATTCCTACAGCAAAATTAGAAAAACCTGTATGAATAATAGGACTGGCTTAGGAAAATGGTGGTTCTGCCCAAGCCCTGTATTGAGGTGTGTTGTATTTATTGGGCATAACTTCCTCTCTCCCTTGACCCGCTTTGGGGAAAGAGAATATAGTACTCAAGCCCACCAGCTCTTCTGCTGCTTGGCACTTGCAGGTTAAAAGCTCCCCTCTTCACCAACGTTTATTTTGAGTATTGCCATCTTACTGACACTGAAGAGTTTTGAATTGTTTATTTAGAATATGAAAACGCATGTCAGGTTACACATGTAATAAATTCTATGCAAGGTCATCCTCAAGGGAACCTTCCTCCAGGGGGCACGTCAGTGGTGGAGGGGTCTTTGTCACGTCCATGTAACGGCGTTTCCCCCCGACCCCCTGCAGTCTCAGAAGGACCCCCGCAGGCCAGCGGCTCTGATGAGAGGAGCGGGAGCCCCTTGTCTCACACGGAGTCTGTGTCTGGGCCAGTCCCGTTGGGCGGAGCCGAAGAGAGCACTGCGCACTGGATGTTGACCAACGGCAAGGCATTTGAAGATGTGACAGGAAGCTCCACTTCCTACCCTGGAGTGGTGAACTCTTCCGTTTTGACCCAGTTCTCAGCCTCTGCCCCACAGCCTGGAGGAAGTGACGGCGCGCTGGGGGCAGGGAGCGACGCCGAGCTGGCCACCGAGTCTTCGTCTTCCTCCTCCTCAGAGAGCCTGGAGTCCTCGGCTCCACGCGGCGAACGCTCGAGTGAGTGCCCCTGCACACACAGGCCCCGTGGAGGGGACAGGGCTGGCCGGCCTGTGGTCTGCAGCACAGCAAGGCCGCGCGTTAGTGAAAAGCTCCACAGGCTGCTCCAGTGTCCGTGGTCCCAGGCCACTCTCCCAGCTGGTGAATATAGACAGACCTGCATGCCCCCCAACTTCCTCTGGTGCCTCTCTGCAGAGTTGCTGTTGCCCCCTGCCCCTCCCACAGAGAGCCCAGGGACCTCCCTGTCCACATCCCTCCACTGCCTGTAGCCCACCTCACTCCCTCCTGCCTGCCTCAGGCCCACCGTTCATCCCCCGGTCCAGGCACCCATCCAGGGAGACTCTTTTGTAGTCGATTTAGTGAGATGTCCTTCACATCCTATACAATTCTCCATTTAAAGTGTTCAGTTCAGCCGAAACCGGTTTAGCTCAATGGATAGAGTGTCGGCTTGGGGACTGAAGGGACCCGGGTTCGATTCCAGTCAAGGGCGTGTACCTTGGTTGCAGGCATATCCCCAGTAGGGGGTGTGCAAGGGGCAACTGATCGATGACTCTCTCTCATCGATGTTTCTAACTCTCTATCTCTCTCCCTTCCTCTCTGTACAAAATCAATAAAAAAAATACATATATTTTTTTTATTAAAGCGTTCAGTTCAGTAGCTGTTAGTGTACGTACAAAGTTACGGAACCACCACTACTATCTACTTCCAGAAGGTTTTCCGTCACCTCACAAAGGAGCCCGGTGTCAGAGGTCACCTCCCATCCTCTCTTCCTTTCAGCCTCTGGCAACCACGAAGTTGTTTTTTTGTTTTGTTTTTTTGTCTCCATGGGTTTTTCTAGTCTAGACATTTTCTACAAATGGAATCATGGAATCCTAGGATCTGTAGCTTTTGTGTTTTTCACTCAGCATAATGTTTTTCAAGGTCCATCTGTGTCAGCACTCCATTCCTTTTTATGGCTAAATAATAGTCCTCTGGATGGATGTGTCACCTTTTGTTTACCTTTTTATCAGTTGATAGATGTGTAGGTTTAAAAAAAAAATCTTTTGGCTGTTATGAATTATAACTGTTGTGAACATCCTACCCTGTTTCCCCGAAAATAAGACAGTGTCTTATATTAATTTTTGCTCCCAAAGATGCGCTAGGTCTTATTTTCAGGGGATGTCTTATTTTTCCATGAAGAATATGGTACACATTTATTGTTAAATGAAAATAAAGGAAATTCATTACCTGTATACGGTATGGTAGTACGCTAGTTGTCAACACAAACCAGACAAACTGTGAATCTTACAGTATCAAGAATTGACTCATTTATTCAATGACATTCATGTCATCATCTTCTGGAACATCATCATAACAATCCAATTCCTGAATTTCCTGGTGAATTTCTTGTGACTCCTAGGGGGTCCTTATTTTCGGGGGAATGCCTTATATTTCACTCAGAAGGAAACCTGTAAGTAGGTCTTATTTTCGGAGGATGTTTTATTTTCGGGGAAACATGGTAGTGCTAGTTTTTGTGTGGACTTGTGTTTTCAATTCTCATGGGTTGTGGGTTAAATAGTAACTATTTTTAACCTTTAGGAGAACTGTCCATCTCTTTTCTACATCTTACCACCAGCAATTTGCAAGGGTTCCTTCCCATTGCTTAGCATCTTTACCAACACTTATTAGAGTCGACCTTTTTTTTTATTATTATTATTTTTTTTTTTTTTTAACTATCGCCATCCTGATGGGCGTGCTGTGGTATCTCGTGGGTTTGACCTGCATTTTCCAGCTGAGGGTCTTTTCATGTGCTCATTGGCCATTTGCCTGTCTTCTTTGGAAATGTGCACTTGGATCGCTTGGCTATTTTTAAATGGGCTTCTTTGCCCTTTTTTGGGGTAGAGGAGTCCTTTGTGTGTCCTGTCCCTTCTCAGATGCGTGATTTGCAGGCATTTCCTCCAGTTCCCGGGCCATCATCTCACTTCCGATGGCATTATTTATTTGCAGCACTGCAGTTCTGAATTTTGGTGAAGTCCAATTTATCAATTTGACAAAACTTTTCATTTTCCTTCCTAATAATGTTTTCGGGCAATTTAAAAAAAACAAAAAAAACCAACTATTATTAGCAGCCTTATCCATGTGAATTGTTATGCTGACTAAAGCAAAAATACATTAACTTATTTAAATTTATAATAGGTTTAGATTTGTACCTCCTCAGCACCAATAATAATAATATAAAAAAGTCTCCATTTGCCCCATCCTAATTGACGAGGAAAATTAGCCTGTGATCACTATTCATGTGATGTGATGTGAGAAAAACACATCTGGGTAGAGGATACCCGTGTGCCCTTTTGTGCCTGTGCATGGAAAATGCATTCTCTAAACCCAGGGATCATTTCCCACCCTCACCAACCATGTGGGGCTCAGACTTGTCACCCTCCAAACCAGGAGCCGAGGTTCTGCAGCCTTTCCTCCCCCTTCCCTTCAGGACCCTTGGCTCTGCCGAGCATGCTCTGTCGCTTCTCATAGACGGTGGAGCAGGTCTCGGGGTTGGATTGTAACGTTGTGCTGGACACGGAATATCCTCGTTCCCAAAACTGCTCTGCTGCGGCTGACACAGTGCTTTATCTCATTTCCTCCCATCGCCCAGAGCTGACTCTGCCAGCCAGCCTTTCAGAGTTCCCTAGCTTCCTTTCTGGATTCAGATGGCGCCCCTGTTCCAGGTCATGACTCCAGGGGGTGTCCGTCAGCCTGACGAGGCTGTTTGCCTGAAGTTTGTCCAGCAGGTCTCGGTGTCCCCACCCCAGGCCCTGTCTTCCTTACCTAGGGAACTTGTGCTCTGATCCACTCAGCACTCCAGCCTCCCCTGGCATGTTTTCCACAGGTCCCCTAAGCTAAGGTGACCAGACATCCCACTTTTGGCAGGACAATCCTGATTTTTAGCAATTTGTCCCGGGTCCCGTTTTAAAAAAGTCTTGATTTGTGGAAAGATTCTTTTAAATCTTTTGGACTTTTTTAAAACGCCGCGGGACACAGGACAAATTGTTAAAAATCGGGACTGTCCCGCCAAAAGCGGGACGTTTGGTCACCTTAACCTAAGCCCTTCAGCCCGAGTCAGGTAACGTCCTTCCCTGGTTCCTGGCTCCTGGGTGCTGCTCCGGCCCCCGTACATCCCTGTCCCCCTCACTCCCCTCTCTCAGGAGGTGAGCTCACCTAACCCTCAGCTTCACCTTCGTTTTCCATCAAGGTGTGCCCATGGGGTAGCAAGAGCTAGTCTGGTCCGGGAATAGGAATAAAAACCATGAGAAGAGCCTGCTTTCTCCCATAGAACCAGATGATGGAGTGTTTAGGCGAAGGGAAACGGAGCCTTACTTCCACACCCAAAAAAGGAAGAAGGGGATATGTATTCACGGGCCACCTGTCCCTGTTCCATCCCCACCAAGAAAATAAAACATATGCATCCAACACACACACACACACACACACACACACACACACACACACTCACACACTCACTCACTCACTCACACACGCCCCAAGCCCGCCTTTAACCTCTGATCACAAGAACGAACTCTACATTAGGACAGGCCGTGTGTCAGGTCATGCCTCGCGGGTCCTGCAGGAGGTGAGAGCCTTCGGGGTTACATGGGCTCCCTGCTCGGTCTCGTCAGGAGGTCTGAAACCCCAGGAGGGTTGTTAGCCTTTTGCCCACTCTTCACCTCCCCTGCAACCACCACCTATTTCCCTGACTGAAGCTGTTTATTATGTGTCGCCCAACAAACACCATATTGCTCCTGTTTACCTAAGTACTAAACCTTCCCATGAGTCTGGTCCCCTGCCCATGCTGACCCGCAGTGCCCCCTGTGTGTCCGTCACCGACAGGTGCCTGCAGGAACCCCGCACGCCTGGCCATCCAGATAAACGCCCTGAGGAAACCCGGGGGAGTGTGCGGGCTCACGCAATCTGGGAAGCCAGGCTTACTCCTGAGACCCGAGTCCAAGCCGTTCTTGTCTCCCCTGCATTAACCCCTGACCCCTGCACTGACCCGTCACCCCCTTCTCAATCTTCTTTTTTCATTTTCCTCTTTATTGAATTTACTGGGGTGGCACTGATTAACAAAAGTATACAGGTTCCAGGCGCACAATTCCACAACACATCATCTGTACACTGTACTGTGTGTTCCCCACCCCAAGCCAACATCTCCGTCCATGCGTCCATCCATCCGTGCGCTTGCCACCATTTATCTTCCCTATGCCCTTCTTCACCTCCCCCCACTCCCCTTCCTCCGGGCAATCGGCAATCCCCGCAGTGCTGTCCGTGACCATGAGTTCTTTTTAACTCAACACCCTTCCATTTCCCCCACGGCTGTCAGCCTGCTCTCTGTCTATATCTGTCTCTATTTTGCAGTCAGTTCATTTCGTTTATTCGATTCCACGTAGGAGTGAAATCCTGTGCTATTTGTCTTCCCCTCTTCCCTCTCCTTGTAGCCACGGAAGATAGTCCCGAGCTGGGAGTCGGTGCCGACACACAGGAGGGGTCCGAGGGAACCCCCGGAGCCCGCGCCCACAGCCCCCACACGTCAGCCACTTTCACTGGCAACGGGGAGCGCACGCTGCGATCCGTCACCAACCGGACCTCCTCCGGGGACGCGGGGCGCTCCCAGACGGCACCCCGGGAGGCAGAGAGCGCCACTCCGCACGGGAACGTGACCGCGGCTGGTAAGGCTCTGGGGGGGAGGGGCTGGGTCTCTTTCCGCTCCTGGAGCTCCTCACTCAGCTCGCTCACGGTCCCAGGGTGACTAAGTTCGCATCCACCCCAGCACCCTACAAGCTCTTTCTGGGTTCTCCTGCCTCCCCCCTCGGCCCGGCCCCCAAGTACCTAAGGCCTTTGCCAGTGCCGTCTGCCAGGATGCTTCAATAAAAGAGAACGGCCCTTTTTGGCTAGGGTAAGGTGACCAGGCGTCCTGCTTTTGGCGGGACAGTCCCGCTTTCCAACAATTTGTCCCGCGTCCCGCGGCATTTTAAAGAAGTCCCGTTTTTGTTTTTGTTTTTTAAAAATCAGGACTTCTTTAAAACGCTGCAGGAACAAATTGTTAAAAAGCGGGACATCTGGTCACCTTACGGCTAGGGCCGATCTCCTGGGAAAGAAACCTCTCGTTCTTTAGCATGGAAAGCTGGGAGGGTCTTCCTTTTTCCATGTAGGCATAACTATTGTTCTATTTGGGGTCGTAAGAGCGATTAAGATACCAGTTTGCTTTTTTATCGAGAAAGGCCTGTGGAAGGAATTTGGGCCCGGTCCCTATGCTTTGGGCCCCGGCCCCACTTCTCCTTTATTACCATTTCCTTTGCCGCCACCGCGTTCCTCAGCGGAGGTGAACCTGGCCTGGGACACGGGCCCTGCCTGCCTCCCGCGCGGTCGGTCTCTGGAGAGCTCACCGCTGCAAACCCGTCTCCAAAGGAAGTTCATGGAGAGGATGCTCCTCAGTCTGTCCTCTGTGGGCGTTCGGGGGGGAGGGTGAGGTTTGCCTGTTTGCTTAGTTGGCCTAACCCTGGTTTTCCCCTTGGCAGTCACTGGGATTATCTACCATCCGGCGATTGGCACGGACCCCGAGCAGGGGCCCTCCAGCCACCACCCCGACCACACCTACGTCTCCTCCACCTTCACCAAAGGGGAGCGCGCTCTGCTGTCCATCACCGACAACAGCTCCTCCCCGGACGCCGGGGAGAGGTCCACCGCTTCTGCCAAGATCTCAAACTCTTCAGAAGCCCCTTCCCCTCCTCAGGGGCAGACGGAAAGAAGGAACGCCTCATCCTTATCCTTCCGAGGGGGCGGGGCGGGTGCTCCCCCTGCCACCGAGTCCCTGGGTCTGCACACAGCCCACCCCCCGCCCTACACGCCCGCCACGAACACATCGGGTGCCTGGGACCTTCCGGGCACGCGCACCGGACGGGACAGCGACTCGCCGCCTTCATCGGGGCCGCCTCTGCCCCCGCCCTCAGTGTCACAGCCCCACCGGTCCTCCTCCTCCTTCTCCTCCTCCACCTCATCCTCCTCCAGGGCCTCCGCCCACCCGCCAGAGGCCACCCCCGATGCGCCCACACCTCTGCCCTCCTCGCCGCCCCCTTCGCCCGCATCCCTGACGGTCCCGGCCCCCGTCTCAGTGTCCGTGTCCCAGGCAACCCTCTCGCCGTCCTCTCTCACGCTGGCCCTGCCCAGGGCCAGGGACACGCCCGTGACCGCAGTTCGGCCGGCGACCGTGGCATCGTCCGTGGCCGTGCTCTCCCACAGCCAAACGGCAGATCCTGAGAATCAGAGCAACCCCCACCACGCGCACGCGGCCGCGGCGTCCGCGCCCCCGCGCTGGGAGTCTCCGCCCACAGAGGCCGCCGGAGCGGACACGGCGAGCTCCGCCTCGGGGGCCCCGGGGGTCCCCGCTTTACCGGCGTCCTCCACGGAGCCCACCCTTCCGGCCGCGAGCACCAGCGTGGCCCGGACGCCTCCGGCGTGGACAGCCACCGCGCCCACGGCGCCCCCTCCCCTCGTGCCCACCCCGGACCCCTCGTCAAGCACGGCCACCCCGGTGGCCGGCCCCACCGCAGGGCGGACCGCGGCTGGGGAGCCGCCCCTGCCGACCAGCCCGGACACCCCAGCGCCGCGGGTCCCCACGGAAGCCGTCGTCACCACTCAGAGGAGCCGAGTGCCTGTCGTTGGCACCACCCCAGGGAGCGCCCTGACCAGCGCGCCCGCATCAGCGACGGTGCTGACCGCGGGCGGCCCGGCCTCCCCCGTCCTCAGGACGTCCCCCGCTCCCCGGAGCACCCACGCCGCTCCGGCTGATATGTCCTCTCCCCGGGGCGCCACCTCCCGTGCTCAGAGCGGCACGCCGGCCCCCACAGCACCGTCGTCTCCAGCCTCAGGTAGGGCCCAGCCGCAGGAGCACAGAGTGCTGGCGGGGGTTGGGGCGGGGGGCGGGATGGGGTGGCTGTGGCTGCTGCTGGCAGTAGTACAGCCTTGGGTGATCTCCAATGCTTCCTGCAGAAGCACTTAGAGCATAAAACATTGTCATCTAATCTCCTCACCCCTGAGTTACACAATCCCTCCCTCCCGAACAAGGAGGAGAGGAGGCCATTGGCTGGGCGGCATCGGTAGACGGTGTAGCCAGTAGCTTGTAATGTCCCGAGCCTGGAAAGCCTTTACAAGCATACTCTCAACTCTCCCAGAGCGGGCCGCGGCGCATGCTGGAGGGTAGAGGAAAGGCAGTCAGGAAGCTTGAAGCGGCCTGGCTGAGGCCCCTGGTGAGTGGGTGACTGCTCCCCGATCAGAACCCTCGCTTCTGAGCCAGCAGGTGGCTCCACAGTCACCAGGGAGGCTTCCCTCGGACCAGGGGAAGCCCTGGCCCCTTGGTGTCCCTCGGGTTGGTAGATGGTGTGTGTGTGTGAGGGGGCGGGGGTAGGTGGGCATGTTCCATAAGATGACGACAGACTAGCCCGTCCCATCGTGCCGGCATTGTGCCTGAGGCTCTCTTGAAGCTCCCGGACACACGTGACTCGGTCGTGTGAGGGAAGGGAGAAGTAAGACGGTCTATCGTGTGATGTCCTATTTAGAAGTGTACCCGTGGCTCGTGCAGACCCGGGAAGCACAGCTGCCGGGCTGACGGGGTGCAGCGGAGACGGGGTCCTCGGAGAGAGAGGACAGGAAGTGCTCTGTGTGACGGCAGCAGGGACTGCTCGTGGCAGGATTCCCCCACTCAGCCCTCAGCAGTCTGGTGGCTGGAGGGTCATGTGCCACCTGCCTGCCAGCCCCACGAGGCTCAGTGCCCCCTCTGCACCCTGGGGAGTGAAAGCTGGATCCTTCCCCTGGGAAGCATGGGCCCCCGCTTCAGAGTTCACAGGGCTTCGCTGCCAGCAGCCAGATATACACTAAGGTGACTAGACGTCCCGCTTTTGGCGGGACAGTCCCGATTTTAAACAATTTGTCCCATGGCATTTTAAAAAAAGTCCCGATTTTTTTTTAAATCGGGACTTTTTAGAAAAGGGGTGTTGAACTCAATCAGAGAAGGGGCCAAAATCTAAAATCCAGCCTAAATCGCGGGCCGAATGGTTTACTGAACAGTCATAAACTGTCATTGTGATGGAAACGCAGCGGAGTGCAGTGATGACAGCGCGGTGCGGGCCACATTGCAAGGCCTGGCGGGACGGATTTGGCCCGCGGGCCTTGTGTTTGACACATGTGTTTTAGAAACACCGAGGGACGCGGGACAAATTGTTAAAAATCGGGACTGTCCTGCCAAAAGCGGGACGTCTGGTCACCTTAATATACACCATCTCCCTTCGCTGGTGGTGGCCACTGCAGTGGCACCTGTGGGTGGGGGTGAGCCCCATCGCTGGCCGGGGATGTGTGTTTTGGGCTCAGTGTTGTGGCCATGGGCTCAGTGTTGGCTGATCGCTGCTGAGCTTAGACGCGTGATTTCAGCTCCGTTAAGGCAGCGGCGAGGCTAGGAGCACTGTCTTCAGGGTTAGCCCCATGGCCAGCAAACTCATCAGTTAACAGAGCCAAATATCAACAGGACAACGATTGACATTTCCTTGGAGAGCCAAATTTTTTTTAACTTAAACTTCTCCTAACACCACTTCTTCAAAATAGACTCGCCCGTGCCGTGGTATTTTGTGGAAGGGCCACACTCAAGGGGCCAAAGAGCCGCATGTGGCTCTCCAGCAGCAGTTTGCTGACCCCGGGGTTAGCCCATCGGTTTTCAGGGTTATTCTTTCGGCCTTCTTTCTCTCACTCTCCCGCCCATTTTCTCCTGGGAGATGGTGCAGTTATTTTGTGGGATTCGGCTTTTCCATGTCGGTGTCAGACACCTTTACTCGGGAGGGTGATGGTGCAGGTTGCTGAGAGAGACCGAGGGTGACGGTGCAGGTTGCACAGACCGAAGCGGAGAGCGGTGGTCGCTGCCCTCGGGAGCTGGGAGTCCGAGATGACATGGAAGCCGGCGCGTCGCTGGGTCCAGAGGAAGCCTAAGGGCTGGCTCGTCGTTACGTTACGTAACGTAACGAGCTGGTGTGGCCATGCTCCCCTCCAGGCTTTCCTAACGATGGCACAGCCTGCGGAGGCCCACCTGCTATTACGTAGTGAGGTTTTCCGATGAAGGGAAAGCTTGCTGCAGGAGGAGGGTTGATCAGGGATCCTTTTCCTCTTGATATGTGTTTTATCTATATTATTTATGTATTTATTTATTTATTTTTAATTTATTTGATTGATTTTTTTACAGAGAGGAAGGGAGAGGATAGAGAGTTAGAAACATCGATGAGAGAGCAACATCCGCTGCCTCCTGCACACCCCCTAATGAGGATGTATCTGCAACCAAAGTACATCCCCTTGACCTGAATCAAACCTGGGATCTTTCAGTCCGCAGGCTGACGCTCTATCCACTGAGCCAAACCGGTTTCGGCTTGATGTGTGTTTTACATGGGCATTCGTTCCGGTAGAATTTTCTAAGGCTCACAGAGGCAGAGTCATCATTGTCCTTGCTGAGGGGAGGGACCCGTGAGCAGCCCCTGAGCCAGTCCTTGTGCTCAGGGTCCAGCTGTCCGGCACTGAGTCTGCCCACCAGCGAGCGCCGGGATCCAGGCCCCCCCTGCGTGCCGGCCGCCCCTCTCGGGCACCCCTTCTGTTTTCGTAGCCGTGGCCTTTCAGGGCAAGTAAACAGAGATAAGTGAGGATCAAATATGAGCCGGGAGAATTAAATATTTACCGAGCGCTGCCTGTACATTTCCTGTGCGGTTAACTGCTTTGTTCCTGGAATGTGTTTCAGCGAACGGCTGCGCCCCCAACCCCTGCCGCCACGGTGGGAAATGCGTCGTGGACCCCGCCCTCCGCGGGCATCGATGCGTGTGCTCGGCCTCCTGGCAAGGCGAGGACTGCAGTGTGGGTAAGAGGAAGAGCCATCCCGGGTCTGCAGCCCAGTAGCATCGCGAGAGCAGCAAACTCGCTTGTTCTCCAAAATGCAGGCCAGTAAGATGTCTAAGTGGGTGCGCTGCTTGCTTGAGGTTAACCCGCTCATTGTCATCGGCAGGGTAATGTCACACAGTGAGGCTGACAGGTCTCCGGATCTGGCCACATTGGTGGGCTCCCTACGCGGCTGCCACCCTGGGCCTTGCACAGCCCCCCCAAGACCCCTCTTCTTTGCTCCCCTGGCCTCCACTGTGCTGGTGCCTTAGCCTAGAACCCCTCGCCCATACCCCAGGTCTGCTTATTGAAGTTCTCCTAGTCTTAGTCCAGATATCATTTGAAACAGTCTATTTTTTCTTTTTCTTTTTTTTAAAAAAATATATATTTTATTGATTTTTTTTTTAACAGAGAGGAAGAGAGAGGGATAGAGAGCTAGAAACATCGATGAGAGAGAATCATCGACCAGCTGCCTCTTGCACACCCCCTACTGGGGATGTGCCCGCAACCAATGTACATGGCCTTGACCGGAATTGAACCTGGGACCTTTCAGTCCGCAGGCTGATGCTCTATCCATTGAGCCAAACCTGTTTTGGCTCTTTTTTTTTTTTTTTTAATTGTTGATGCTATTACAGATAGAAACATTCTTAACCCCCCCCCCCCCCCTTTCATTCCAATCTGCTTCTTTTTCTGTTCCTCCTAGTCCTGCCTTGTGTTTACCGTTAGCTCTCTGCATGGCTGCCCCCACCCTTAATAGGTTGGTAGCCCCTTGGGAATGAGGGGAGTGTCCTACTGGCCTCTGGGGCCCCCCTTCACCTCGTGCCACTGGGCTCTTAGTCCGTGGGTCCTGGGCTCAGTTATGGCGTTGCTGTCGGACACAGACTCACCGTGGCCTGTGTTCTGTCCCCTGCAGATGTGAATGAGTGCCTCTCCAACCCCTGCCCACCGCTGGCTGCGTGCAACAACACTCAGGGATCCTTCACCTGCCGATGCCCCATTGGGTACCAGTTGGAGAAAGGAATATGCAATTTGGGTAAGAGAGTTGGTCTGTTATTTCTATACCACACTGTATTTTGCAAAGCGACATAAAAAGTAACATTGCTTTTCTCCCTGATGAAAACCAGGATTTGAGATATAGTTTAAGGAAGAGAGAAGGAAGGGCAGGCTGCCCCTTGTTCCACCTGTTAGAAAGATAGCCCCTGATAGGAAACTTTTTTAGTGTGCATGATAGTTTTACATAGTTGAAATCATGTGGTATTTGTACAAATGTTACATCTTAAACGTTTTCCCGGGTTATTAAAATATTACACAAACTTCTTAATGACTGCATACGTATGCCATTGTTCGTGCATAAATTGTTTCACCATTTCACCCTGCAGTTAGAAAAAAAAAAAAAATGTATATATTAAGGTGATCAGACATCCCGCTTTTGGCGGGAAGTCCCAATTTTTAACAATTTGTCCCGTGTCCTGCAGCATTTTTAAAAAGTCCCGATTTTTTAAAAAGATTCTTTTAAATCTTTTGGACTTTTTTAAAATGCCGCAGGACACGGGACAAATTGTTAAAAATCGGACTGTCCCGCCAAAAGCGGGACATCTGGTCACCTCAACATATCAAAGAATGTTCTAACTACATTGTTTAAAAAATATATTTTAGGGCGAGAAAAAGTGGGGGGAAAAACCCACACCCTGATTGTCCTACCAAATTCACACATTCTTTTTTGGTTTTAAAAACAACCTTCCTGTTATCATCCATAGGCAAATATATTTTTACAAAGCTGTTGCCATAATTGTACCATGCAGTTTATCACATTTTGTTTCCTAATTTGATAAGATTCACGAAGCTGGTGATCTTAGCTATAGTCACTGCTTTAAGATTAAGAAATAACCCACATGGAGACTGAGGCCCTGACCAGGTGCTACGTGGCCAGGTGTATACAGCTGCTTGATTGGAAGCCAGGCTTCCAGCCCCGTTCCTCCTGTCACACAATACTGTGTTAGCGGTGAGGGCTCTCTTGCACACAGTGCATGGCCCTGAATTGGAATGCCTGAGTGCAGTGCACAACTGGAAGAAATTAGAAGCGAAGGACATCGAGTTGTTATCTAAGCTCGATAAGGAAACAGGCAGGTAAAGGGACTCACCTTTGAATCATCTTAAACCACCCCGTGGGATACTGAACACACAGAAAGTACTCAGTCAATTTTATTGTGAGAACAGGTGTCTTTGTCTTTGGGAAATGTCATTTGCACGAACTCCTATTGCCTATAGGCTTGAGGGGAATCATCAGACTTATTAGAAGGTTGTGTCAACCAACAAGACTAAAACAACTTAGTAAGGAGTGTGAGGTCCTTTATTCAAGGGAAGCCACCCACTCCTGAGGGACCGTGAGCAAGAGCAAGTGCTACTGAGGGTTAGAAGTGGGACTGAGCTGAAACTGGTTTGGCTCAGTGGATAGATCGTCAGCCTGCGGACTGAAAGGTCCCAGGTTCGATTCCGGTCAAGGGCAGTTCAAGCACATCCCCAATAGGGGGTGTGCAGGAGGCAGCTGATCGATGTTTCTAACTCTCTCTCTCTCTCTCTCTCTCTCTTCCTCTCTGTAAAAAAATCAATAAAATATGTATATTGAAAAAAGAAAAAAGAAAAAAAGAAGTGGGACTGAGGTGGAAACGGGGTGTGATTGACGGGGGATGCATATCTGACCTCACTTAAAAAAATCAAGGAACTAGGAAATAAGTGTAGGGCCCAGGGCTGGCGTGGTGGCGGGGAGTGGCCGGCTGGAAATGCTGTGTTTCTGGCCCAGCAGAGCCCACACCACAGTTCTGTCCCAGGCAGGAGCAGCTCTCTCTCGGGCCTAGAAATTTATGTCAACAGTTGCTACTCTACTGAAATAAAGGTAGAGTTTTGAAAATTGGTTAAAATACAAGGATTAAATCAAAGCATTATTTAAAGAAATAAAAATCGAGGAACCTAGATACCAGTCAAAATCAGAAGTCCTCTTATTCTAATAGTTTATTTGCTTTTGGGGAACGCATTCCACTTAGCTGCACCCTATAAGCCAGGAGTTTCGGACTAAGAAGGGAGAAGGTGGACATAATTTTATTCGGAAGCCGTGTGCAAAGTCACCTGCCCGGGAATGCAGACGCCAGCCCCAGAGCCGCCACCTGCAGCCCATGACCCCTGAGCCTCAGTTTACTCATCTGTAACACCAGGTTACCCCCTAGTCTGCTTCCCACTCAGGCTTATTGTGAGCATCAAATAAAATGATTTTCAAGTTTTGGAAATGGTAGTGTTCAGGAGCACTCCAAGAAAATAAAAGGAAATGGTAGAGTAATGTAATCATTTTACATTAGTCTTTAGCCTCTTGGACCAGAATTGAAATCAATGAAAATAATAAACTACTCTGAATACAAAGGAATAAGTATGGTCTTAAAAAAATCATTTCCATAACCTGCATAAATCAGTAGTTAAGTTTGAAGTAAAGAACTGCCTTAACCTGGCTGGCGTGGCTCAGTGGTTGAATGTTGACCTATGAACCAGAAGGTAACGGTTCAATTCACGGTCAGGGGACATGCCCAGGTTGTGGGCTTGATCCTCAATATGTGCAGGAGGCAGCCAATTAATGATTCTTTGTCATCATTGATGTTTCTATCTCTCTCTCTCTCCCTCTCTCTTCCTCTCTGATAACAATAAAAAAAATTTTCTTTAAGTTGCCTGAAAGCCAGGGGATGTCACTGCAGGCATGAGGATGCCTGTGTGCCAGGGAGAGTGCAGGGCCGGGACGATGCTATGGGATGCCATCTTCACATGCACATTCGCTCTGAAAGTGGAGGTCGCATTTACTGCCGCGATTCAGGAGAGATCTGTGTTCTTAGCATCTGCATCTGTGTATTCCTATGCAGAGCGTCTGGGTATGAGCCTGGACCTGGGAGATGTGAAGATGAAGGAGCAGATGAGGGTTCTGGAAGCCTGTGTGTGGAGGGTCCCAGGGGCACCAGCATCGGGAGGAGAGCCGGTCAACTGTGTTCACAATCATCTCTCCCTTTTCAAGTCATTTAACTTCATTGTTCATAAACATCAGAGGAACATGCAAATTAGAGCATGCTAAAAGGCTTTCATTTGGCCGGGCCTGTTTTCAAAGAGCTCCCTGCTGCTCAGAAGGAGTCTTCAGCAGCTGGCTCCACTGAACTGTAGAACCAGCAAAAGGATGTTAAATAAGGATTAAGGGCTTCAGACAGGAAGTGTAAGATGTTAAATGTTTTCCCTGGCGCATTGGTGGGCCTTTCTCTTAATTCAGCAAGCAAAGCTTTCTGTGAAAAAGCAGCTTCAGGGGTTTCTGTGTTTTGGGTTATTATTGTTTTCCTGTCCAGAGGGGAAGGTAAGAATTTAATATAAAGGAAGATAAGAGCCAGATATAAAGCAGTCTATACTAATGTTGGATTGCCTGCCCGTTTGTACATTCCCTTCCCCTCAGGCCCAACCAGCACAAATTGATGTTAACTAGAAGTTTATTTTATGAGTGACACGGGCCTTGAAAATGCTCTCTTTCATGTCTGAACCCAACATTATCTTGAATATGGGTCGTTTCATTGCATGGCCTCTGATCGTGGAGTCTGGCAGCGACCCTGGGAGTGGGGTCCGTTACAGAGGCTGGAGCCTCTCTTTGTTGCCCTGTGATTGTCCTCAGAATACCGGGTTCCTCGGGGGGTTGAGGTGTAGAGGAACATGGGAGATGGGCACACAGGAAGTTAACTGTTCATTTTGGACCTTGGCAGCTGCGTACCCTTGGGAAGTTACAGTGATGAAGGGGGCATTTCCTCTGGGACAGGCGTCCTCAAACTTTTTAAAGCGGGGGCCAGATCACGGTCCCTCAGAGAGCTGGAGGGCCGGACTATATGAACTACTAATTCCTACTGTAACACCTCGGCTGCGCTCATTGCCCAAAAAACCTGGCGGGCCGGATCAGACTCCTCTGCGGGCCGCATGTGGCCCACGGGCAGTAGTTTGAAGACCCCTGCTCTGGGAGAAGAGGAAACCTAAGCATGCCCTTGAAGGTCGGGACTTGTCAACTTGGTGAAAGACCTGGAGTGCAAGAGCTCTCTCTCTCTCTCTCTACACCAAGCATGTCAGACTCAAAGGCTAACACGAGCCAAATAAACAAGGTGTAAATTTATGTGGGCCACACAAAAAAAAAAAAAAACCACAAAAGCTTCAAGTTTCACAGAAATGTACTGTAGGTTTATTTTGGTGGAGACATGTTGAATACCAATGGCTGAAATAAATGAGTAATCGTTAACATAAAATAATAGAACATTTTAATAAAAATTAGTACTTTTTCTTGAACATTAACTTGCCAGGCCCTGAATAATTAACTGCACAAATTAATAAGCACAATGCAAATAAAGCTCTTTTTCTTGTTCTCCAAAAGTGGAATATTTCCTTTCAAACCCACACCAAACAAGTCAGTCCAAGACTAATGACATAGCAATCGGCTGCTAAAATGTTTACTGCTAGTATTAGTGGGGAGAAATGGTGCGCCTGTGAGTAAAGTGTGTAAAGGAAATGAATGCAACACGATTATAGTAATCAGTCCTTAGTGAACGTTGTAGTTCATTACTGATAATTATGTATACCAGGATATTGTAAAAATTAAGTTACAAAATTTTTATTAAAAGGTTTCTTACATACCGTTATATTGACTGGGCCACAAAAATATTTGTTGTGGGCTGAATGCAGCCCACGGCCATGAGTGTGACATGCTTGCTCTAAAGTGCTATGCCTCGCCAGTGTGGATCAGTGGCTGAGCATTGACCTATGAACAAGGAGGTCACAGTTAGGTTCCCAGTCGGGGCACGCCCTGGTTTCAGTCTCAATCCTCAGTGTGGGGCATCCAGGAGGCAGCTGATCAATTATTCTCTCTCATCATTGATGTTTCTATCACTCTCTTCCTCTCTCTGCCTCTCTGGGGGGGGGGGGGGGGGAGAAATATATACATATATATATATGTGTGTGTGTGTGTGTGTGTGTGTGTGTGTGTGTATTAGCCTAATATGCAAGGTGTCCCCTTGGAGTTTGACCAACCAGTAGTTCGATCACCAGCTATGACATGCTCTGACCACTAGGAGGCAGCGTGGAGTGAAGGAAGGCCCCAGCCGGCCTCTGCTAGGGACCCTGCCTGTGCATGAATTTTGTGCACTGGGCCTCTAGTAAATAAATAAAGCGTTATGGGGCCCGAGGAGCACTTTTTGTCTCTGGCCCCACATCTCCCTCCTGGGATTATACAGTTTGGGGCCAGCTCACCTTCCTTCTTTGCCACAGCTTTACTGGGCATCTGTTATGGGAAGGCTGTTAGAGAAGCGTCAGGAAGGCTCCTCACAGCAGCCCTCCCTCCCACACAAAGGGCTCCTTGGAGTCTCTCACCCAAAGGGTCACTCAGTCTGAGCCATCAGCTCAGCTCGGTCGGTGCTCACCTGCGCGGAGAGGAGCGCAGAGGGAGAGAAATCACAGAGGTGGTCTCTGAGGTGGGATGAGGCCGGATGCCCCGGACACTTACAGACACACAGCCTGTGTAGATCGACCTCTCCTGCAGCCTAACGGGTTATGTTTCCGTTTGCAGTTAGAACCTTCGTGACAGAGTTCAAATTAAAGAAAACGTTTCCCAATTCCACCGTGGAAAGACATTCGGACCTGCGTGAAGTTGAAAACGAGGTCACCAGCACGGTGAGTTTTCTGAAAGGCACCTTGCTTCTAGGCCTTTGTTTTCTAGAACAGATTTCGTTCGGCATTGGGAGCCTCCTGGGGGCCAGCTTTGTCTCGGGCTGTCATTTCTGTGACGTGTGGAAGGTAAGCTTCGGGGTAGAATAAGAGGCCTTGGAAGCGGAGGGAGGTGTTGGGCAGCAGCGTCCCCAGGAGGGGTGTTCCTTTGAATGTGTCCTCGCCGGCAGCCTTTGCCGGTGGGTGGCAGCTTCTTTTCCACGTGCACACTGACAGGCACCGACAGGTAGGTGACGTGAACCTGTCACAGCTGTTGGTGGCGAGGAAAGGCCCAGAACATCCTGCTTTGGATCTGCCGTGTGACGTTCTCAGGGTTTGGGGCCATGGGGAGGCGAGCTCTCTTTTCTCCAAGGGAATGCCAAGAGGGGAGCAGTTCGCCCTGGTTATCCTGGGGGAGAATTCACTGCATAGATTATCGAGGGGCCTTGGATTCTCCTTTCCTCTCGGCTTACTTTTTCTCGGAGGGGGTGGGGGGGGGAAGGTAGAAGGGTAGGAAGGAAGAGAGGGAGGGTAAAATGGAGAGGAAGAAAGAAGAGATCAAATAAAACTGTATTTTGCCTCTCAGCTGCCATCTGAGTCTAAGATTTGGTGTCTAGAAAACCAAAGTTTGCCATTAAAATAAGACTTAGAGACCAGTCTATTTCTGATTTCAGTTTTACTTGTTCTTTATGGGTGAGAGTGTAGTAGCCAAAACCTCGAGGATGTTACAGCACTGTGGATTTCATTTGCAGACTTCAGATTGCAGTTCTGTTTCCGTATCTCCCGCGTGCACCTGCTCTGGCAGGGTGTGACAGGTGCCTCGCTAAGAGGTATTCCGACACCAGGACACATGGGAAACGCAGGCCCTGGAAGCTGCTGCTGCTGCCTGAGCTCACACTGAGCAGGTGCCAGGTTAGGGAGCAGGCTGCCAGACCACCTGCAGGCCTGACATCAGTTGCAAATTCGGGGACCCCCACACCACCCTCAGATTTGACGATGCAGTAGGCCTCACAGATAGCGCCTGAGGCTGTTACACCATGGTCATGGCTTGTTGCAGTGAACGGGTCCAGGGAACAGCCAACCAAAGGAAGTCAGGCGTGGGAGAGGGCCCGGAGAAGAGAGGGAGAGGGAGGGAGGGGGGAAGGGATCCCACGGGGCTGTGCACAGGGTTGATGCCTCTGGACAGTGATGTGCACAGTATTCATGGAGTGTGCCAGCCAGGGAAGCTCGCCGGAGCCTTGGTGGCCAGAGCCAGTACGCTGTGCTCGCCTCAGCAGCACATGCACTAACATTACAGCCAAGACCTAGACATGGCCAACTGCCCATAGGCCTGACCTCGGGCTCCAGGCCCTCTGGAGGCCAGGGGTTCCCATGTAACTCAAAGCCCTCACCACCAGTCATGCTGCTAGACTCTCAGTGGCCCAGGCCCCCAGGGTAACAAAGGCAGGCCATTCCAAGGCTTAGAGCTACCTCCCAGGAGCCTCAGCCAGACCTCCCTTTGGGCAGGGTTTAATTGTTCACTATACAGCAGGTTTTGTGTGTCTTTAACCCTGTACCCGGCGTTCTTGTCACTCCACCACACCTGCCTCTGGGTCAGGCTTTCCTTGTGAGGTAGCTCAGGGCCGAGAGCCCCGTGCCCGGGCGCAGTCCTTCCGTTCCACAGTGCTCCGTGGCTGCTCTGACTTGGTAAGTTGGACCCAGGATCAGCCCCTCCCTTGTGAGCGAAGTGACACTCCCACCCCAGGGAATAGTGGAGATTTAGGCAGTGACTGGAGAAGCCACTCCCGTGGCCCTTCCCAAGATGCCATCCTGTTCTGAACTGCGCCGCCTCTGTCTTCACCTGGGAGGGGGAGAGCTTAAGGACCAATGCCAGTAATAGATCATTGCCTATCATATATAAAGCACTAGGGGAAATGGTGAACAACGTAGACTGATGAACAAGAACAGACCCAGAGACAAGGAGCCATGGGTCAGACTGCTGGACCTCAGAGGGAGGGTGGGGATAAAAGGGAGAGAGCAACCAAAGGACTTGTGTACACACATATGAGCCTAACCAGTGGTCAAGGACAATAGGGGGGTGGGGGCATGAGTAGGGGGGTGGGGGATTGAGGACAAATATGTGATACCTTAATCAATAAAGAAATTAAATTAAATTTAAGAAAAAAATATATATTTAAAAATATACATATAAAGCAGTGTCATACGAAGCCATAAAGCCTGATAGCATCCCATGTTTGAATCCTTCTTCTGAAGAGCGAGATGTACCTGACACAGGGGCCAGGGCAGGTGCGTCTGCACTGTCCACGGTGCTGAGACCCTCTGCTGCCGGGAAGGAATCCCTGGCCCCAAAGTGTGTCTGTGGAGGGGAGCGGGGTGGGGAGGGGGGATGTCAGGGGAGACAGGGAAGCAGACATGGCGCTTTCATTACACCCTGAGCGGTTTCCTGCTCTCTCTGAGGGCACAGGGCAAACGGGCAGAGTCATTCTAGTTGGCGCTCAACAAAAGGGTTCTTGACCCACGTAATGCCCCATATTTGCCGAGAACCTGGCTTCGAATCGGGTCAACTCGCTGTACATCCGGAGGGGCCTGCACAGGACCTGCCGGACCTGGGGCAGCGGGAAGGAACCAGCCTTTTCAGGAGGCTCGCTCACCACGTGCAGTCCAAATATAAACAGTTGCCTCGGAGGCATTTCTTGAAACCCGAGATCTTCACAGAGATCTGCTGCTTTGAAGATGGTTTGCATCCCAGGGTGCTGTTCAGAACCTCCGCCCGCCCCCCTGCCAGGACTTGTCCCACTGATTCACTCTGGGCCTCTCTCCCTTCGGACTCATGGGGCGCAGAACAGGCGCAGGAAGGCGTTTAAGAGGGGAACACAAAAGGCACACCACTTCTCTGTCAGACCCCCTGCTGAGAGCTTGATGGCTGGAAAATGCCTGTTGAACACAGAGAATAGGAAATCGGTCCCAGCTCGAAGGCTCTTTGTCTAGCTCACCATTAACAGGCAAACCTGTTCTTCCTTTCAGCTGAATATGTGTTTTTCGGTGTTCCCTGGTTATACCCGGTCCACAGTTCGTGCTTCAGGGTAAGTGCACTGGCCTGTGAACCGGTCTGCAGAAGGGGGAGGATGTTCGCTCATGGGCGGCAGCAGTAAACACGGGCCCTCTTTTGACCAAGCCACAGGGTGACCCAGGGCCAAGGTCACTCGACCTTCATGCCGTTCCATTCATTCCCTCGCTGGGCGGTTGTTGTGGGGTCGAACCCTGGGTTCAAAATAAGACCACCAGAGGCTGATGATTGATTAAAAAAAGCAGGCAAGGATTTATTGAACTGGCCAGGACAGCCGCAGGAGCACCACATGCAGGTGGCCACACTCACGATTGCACTGTTCCAGGTTTAGGCAGTCCTTTTAAAGGTCCAAACCAGCCGGGACCGGTTTGGCTCAGTGGATAGAGCGTCGGCCTGCGGACTGAAAGGTCCTGGGTCCGATTCCGGGCAAGGGCGTGTGCCTTGGTTGTGGACACATCCCCAGAAGGGGGTGTGCGAGAGGCAGCTGATCGATGATTCTCTCTCATCGATGTTTCTAACTCTGTCCCTCTCTCTTCCTCTCTGTGAAAAATCAATAAAATATATTAGAAAATAAAATAAAGGTCCAAACCACAAGAATTTTCCTTTGTTCTAAATTCTAAAGGCTGGGAACAGCCCGCAGGGTCGCTCCCAGTCACATCCTGCTGGACACTGGAATGTGGCCCTATCTTTCGATAGCAGATAGTACAGAAGCAGACCTGAGCGGTTTATCTTTAAAGGTTATCTACAGTTTCTACTCCTGAAGCTACTGAGTCCGTGGGAATCCATCTCCTGTGGTCCTGGTCCACAGGCACAGGAAAACTGCCTTAGCCTCCAGGTCTCCATCTGGAAGCTGAAGCAACTACCCTGTTGTTTAAGCAAGTAAGCGAGTGCCGAAGCCAGAATAGCAGGGTTAAAATTCAAACAGCAGTTTTTACCCAAGGATGTGGTTGCTGCCATATTTCACAATGGGGATAACGGCTCATTTTCCAAAAGCCTTGGGGCCCGCCTGTCACTTTGGAGCGATTACAAACCTGCACGCTTTGCCCGTAGGGAGTCCGGCGCCGTGGCCCTGTCGCTGCAGACCACCTTCTCCCTGGCCTCCAATGTGACGCTGTTCGACCTGGCCGACGGGACGCAGAGGTGTGCCAACTCCTGCAGGTCCTCCGCCGAGGTCTGCCAGCTCCTGGGATCGCAGAGGCGCATCTTTAGAGGTGAGAGAACGGCCGTGTGGGGCGGCCCTGCCCGTGCGGTTAGCACACCCCCGGGAGAGGAAAGTAAGTTCAAGAAAGCGCGTCACAGAGCCAGGCTGTCTTTGAAACGCGTTACGTGAAAGACCTTGGTGTCTGTGGACTGTGCACACGCAGGCGTGCACAGGCACAGTCTTGAAGTCAGCCTGCTGCCTCTTCTACTCCTACACGGGAGCGGATGCGATGGAGCAAAAACCGCTCTTCTTTCCCTTGAAAAGCTCCTACGCTCTCTGGGGAGGCAGACGTCCACACAGAATTACCTGCTCGACAGCACCCCACGCCTTCCTGGTGATACGCCATTCAGTAAGAGCAGCCTGGGGGATGTGACCGGCCATGTGTGCCGGTTTGCAGATTACCGGTGCACACACACAGGCCAGGCTGTCACCGCCAGCTGCCCGGTGTCCGTCAGGATAATCTCCCTGTTCTTGTTCTTGCTTTATCTGTTTTGTCCAAAGCTTCTGCGGTGCATCTCCTGAAAAAGCAGATGAAGGAAGGGATTAGAAACAAGTTCAAAAGTGGGTCTTAGAGGGGGGTGGTGCCTCTGGGAGCAGAAAACTGCTGGCATCAAAGGGCTTCCTGGCAAAGGGGCTTGTCCCTGCTGCCATCTCATAAGCGATGGGAGCGGCTCCGCTAAGCTCCTTCCCTGCGGGGTTCGGGTGTGGCATCTGTGTGGGCCTCCACCTGGGCCCAGTAGGTGGCAGTTGCTCTCATTCAGCATCACTGGGGAGTCAGCCTAAAGTTCATATCCCTGTGGACTGACTGCTCTAAACCCAAAGTCCAGAGCTCTTTGGTTTTACTTTGTTTGTTTTTGTGATTCAAGGGTCCCCAGTTGTCCTCCTCAGCGAGCAGGAAGGGGACCTTTCAATTCCGTAAACACTCACCGAGGGCACCCTGGGTGGTCAGCCTGGTGGTGTGAGGTTATGTTCTGTCCCGGTAAATGCATTGCATGCCTTGCAGATCAAGTGGCCAGATACTTGGATTCCTGAAGTCCTGTTCAGAGCAACCCTGCCCCCTCTCTGACTCCCATTCTTCCAGCATGGATGTGTGTGGATCCTGGGAAAGCCCGTTTTCCTTATTGGGGTCCCATTTTTTCTTCCTTCCTTCCTTCCTTCCTTCCTTCCTTCCTTCCTTCCTTCCTTCCTTTCTTTTTAAGGACTTTAATATTTTTAGAGCAGTGTCAGATTCACTGCAAAGTCGAGAATAAGAGAGAGTGTGGGGGGCTGTTTCTCTGTTTCCCATCACCCGCACAGGAAAGGACAGGTTCCTGAGTGGAGGAGCTGGGGATTAAGAGATTAAAGAAAAAAAGAGACCAAGACACAGAAATAGATTCAAGCTGGGACCCAGGTGGGGGGCTGCCATTCTGATGGAGAGACAGTCAACCACCCACCACAGACAACACAGCGCATTTATTGATTTCCAAAGGGGGGTTTAAGGTCAAAGAAGTTTTGGGTGTGCCCAGGTCCTATTCATTCCCTCATTCCTGGGATTTAGCATATCAAGACCTGGGTAAGTCAAATCGGTACTGTTAACAGTCTCAACATTTTGGGGAAACATGTTCCCAGGGTGTGGCTCTGCCTATGCCTTGAGTTCAGCTGCTGATAATTAAAGGTCATCCATGTGCATTCCCAAGGGGCTCTCTACGCAGAGATATCCCACATGCCCCCACGTCCCCACATGAGCTGGTCCCCACCCGTGGTCTCTCCTTCCAGAGCTTGTGAAGACAGAGACACATCTCTGTGCTTGATCCCACGTCTTCTCCAGCTTTTGCCAACACACGCAGCTTGGTCTCTCGCTCACCAGTGAGGGCTAGGGAGGCGGGCATATGAGCAGGAGCTCTCAGGCTCTGACATCTGGGCGTTCCCAACCTCTGGGGGCAGCACCGATGACTCTGGGAAAGGCGGGCTTTGACCCTTCGGTTCACAAAACACGTACTTCCTCTCCCTTCGGAACCCGCCAGCCCTCACATCCCCGGAGGGTTAGAATCCTTGGAAATCCCCCTGGCGGGCTCTCGGCCTTCGATTTACGAAAGTTCTCATTGTCTCTCCGGCGGATGTCATGCCCAGGAAAGACCCTGGGAACTGGGGAGGCAGAACAATCCCACCGCCAGGCTTCCGACGCACAGGGGGTTCTGCCTGGTTCCGTGGGGTGGATTGATGGTAGGAGAACTCTGTTCTTGGGGAATTTTCAGGAGAGCAGCGCCTCCACCGCACGGGCAGGCCAGCTGCCCCTGCGTTCCCAGGAACCTGCCTCCGTGCCAGGCGAGCCGCCAGCCAGCACGCTGGATTCAGGGGCGGGATGGAAGGAAAACATGACATGCGCGTCCAGAGACTATCTAATCGGCCAGGCCCCTCGGGCTGGCCGCCGGGCAAGGCCGGAGCTGGCCCGGCCGCCTTGGCCCCAGAGGTATTTCTCCAGAGGAAGGCTGAGGACTGGCAGCGCCTTCAGAGAGCAGCGAGGAGGGATGGCGGGGCGTTAGGACCTCTCTGCTGCCAGCTCTGCAGTGTCGGCCTGGTGAGATGTTTCATTTTTTTTGTTTTTCCCCCTTAAATACAGACTTTTCACAATAAACAAAGGAAATTCTGTCGCACACGCAAACAGGGCTCTGATGGAGCACGTCAGCCTCCGCTGATAAAGACAGGAAATTTGGTGTTGGGAACCAAAGTTGTGTCCTAAACTTACCTCCCTGTGACCAGGCCATCCACCCGGCCCCGAGCTCTCAGGACTCAGAAAAGGAGGCTGATGCTGGGACCCCCACCCCACTCCCCCTCGCCACCACCAACACACACACACACACACACACACACACACACACACACTGTGTGGGCATCCGCTCCTACCACCACAACTGGCGTAGGCAGGGACAGTTCTGCCGTGTTGAGAACTGGTTTCTGAATAGGCTGGTGTCTTCCCTAAGGTGGGAGAGGGGAGACCGTCCTCACGGCATGGCTCTCTCCCCGGCTGACCTGGCTCTGTCTGCCAGCAGCAGCAGCACATGCCAGGCTTGCTGTGCCCTGCACCCGGTCTGAGCTACTGCTTACCCTCCCGTTGGTTTCATAGTTTTGTTCTATTGTCTGTGTACCCCAATTGCATGTGTCATTTTGGGGAGGGACTTACCTTAGATGGTAGAATGCACCCTCATTGTGTCTGCTGTGTACAATCCCAGAGCGTCCAACGTGTACAATCCCAGAGAGGGTCCAACGTGTACAATCCCAGAGAGGGTCCAACGTGTACAATCCCAGAGAGGTCCAACGTGTACAATCCCAGAGAGGGTCCAACGTGTACAATCCCAGAGAGGTCCAACGTGTACAACTCCTGAGAGGTCCAATGTGTACAATCCCAGAGAAGTCCAATGTGTACAACTCCTGAGAGGTCCAACGTGTACAATCTAGAGAGGTCCAACGTGTACAATCCCAGAGAGGTCCAACGTGTACAATCCCAGAGAGGTCCAACGTGTACAATCTAGAGAGGTCCAACGTGTACAATCCCAGAGAGGTCCAACGTGTACAATCCCAGAGAGGGTCCAACATGTACAATCCCAGAGAGGTCCAACGTGTACAATCCCAGAGAGGTCCAACGTGTACAATCCCAGAGAGGGTCCAACGTGTACAATCCCAGAGAGGTCCAACGTGTACAATCTAGAGAGGTCCAACGTGTACAATCCCAGAGAGGTCCAACGTGTACAATCCCACAGAGGCCACATGCCCAACATGAGAGCTTTTTAATAATAATGAAAATGGTGCTTTGTCATTGAAATGACACACCCAGGCCCACACACACAGCCAGATGGGTACACATGGATGAAATGGGGCCTTAAAGTCAAGCATGTAGAAGCCTGGAAGATGCGCACCTTTGTGGCCGGCCTGTCTCTCATGGTGATGTGATGACGAGGTCCAGCGGTACCTTCCGCATGTGGACCAGTCTCTGAGGTGCTGGAGACCCAGAGATGAATAAGCTGGGAGACACGGTCAGTGTAGTGAGGAAGCAGGCAGGGGACACCATAAAACTATAGCCCACAGAGAGCAGGCCATCTCCCACTGTCCCCCATCTCCCACTGCCCTCCATCTCCCACTGTCCCCCCATCTCTAACTGCCCCCCCATCTCCCACTGCCCCCATCTCCCACTATTCCCCTATCTCCCACTGCCCCCCCATCTCCCACTGCCCCCCATCTCCCACTGCCCCCCATCTCCAACTGCCCCCCCATCTCCCACTGTCCCCCATCTCCCACTGTCCCCCATCTCCCACTGCCCCCCATCTCCCACTGTCCCCCATCTCCCACTGCCCCCCATCTCCCACTGTCCCCCCATCTCCCACTGCCCCCCATCTCCCACTGCCCCCCATCTCCCACTGTCCCCCATCTCCCACTGTCCCCCCATCTCCCACTGTCCCCCCATCTCCCACTGCTCCTCCATCTCTTCGGCTGCACAGACACAGGCTGAGGCGCCTTCAGTTCGAGGCAGGTCTGACCCCGCAGCTTTCTCCCTGGAGCATGGTCTCGGCTTCTGGGTGTGTGCGATCTCTCCCCGCAGAGCTTGCACGAGAAGATCCCACACCTCGAAGGCCGTCCTTGCCTTGGACTGTAGCTGGGGCAGCTGCCTGTTTCTCCCGGGCATCTTGGTCTCGGCGTGCTGTGTGAACGCTCAGCAGAGCGGCCTGGGGGCCGACGCGGGGGAGGAGGGCAGAAGGCAGGCCGGACCTGGGCGGGGAGCGGGCACCGGCAGGCTTTTGGAGACCTGTCCCCGGAGCCTCTGCCGTGGAGAGTTCCCGTGTCCTACGGCCTGAGGTGGAGGAGGCTGTGTTTGGTTTCACCGTCTTGTTTTCCATTCCAGCCGGCAGCCTGTGCAAGCGGAAGACCCCGGAGTGCGACAAGGAGACCTCCGTCTGCACGGACCTGGACGGGGTGGCGCTGTGCCAGTGCAAGGCGGGCTACTTCCAGTTCAACAAGATGGACCACTCCTGCCGAGGTGCCTGCCGCTTCTCGGGGCGCTGTGGCCGCCTTGCTTTCCTCTGCGGGGGCTCCTCCTGCTCCGGGCGCCCGCTCTAAGCTCTAAGGGGGTAGCCGGCCCTTGTGGTTCGGCTCACGGCAGGGTAGAACACATGACCTCCGTGGAATAACAGCCTTATCTCTGACCCTGCGCTGGCCAGGCCCCTGGATTCAAAGGGAAAGAAAAGAGAATGGAATGCCTGTGGCTGGCAATGTCTTTCCTTCCCTTCCCTTTCCTTCTCTTTTTCTTTTCTTTTTTTCCACCTTAAGGAAGCTAGACAAATTGTTTTAATTCCCAAAGCCTTATTCTATAGCCTGCTAACCTTTTTAAAGGGTCACACAAGTATGAAATCAGGCTGTACCTTTTAGCAGCAGCTGTGGCCCAAGTGGGTCAGACCCCCCCACTTTGGCCTCCCTGGTCACCTGTCATCTTCGCTGAGCCTCAGTTTCCTCTTCCGTGAAACGGGCGTAGTGACGCTTCATTGACATTGTAAGAGCTAAAGAGGGCGATGTACACATACGGCGGTGCTGTGGAAGCCATCCACACTGCTCTTGTGTCTTACCCACGTTGTGGTTGTTGCTGAACCACGAGCCTTGGTTTTTAAAGGTTTCATAAAGTATTGAAGGACGGAAAGCTAATCCCGCAAACCCTGTAGGTGGGGCTTACGTTCATTTAGTTTGAGATGAGAGGCTGCTCAGTGGTGTAGGGTAGAGCCCAGCTCCAGAGTGCGGAGTACCCTGACGGTGAAGGAACGCAGACGCCAGCCCCGGCTGGCGATCCGTGTCCTGGAGTCGGAGTCAGATCGCATACTTGCGAAAAGCGGCGTGCCACTTACAGCTGTCAGGACTGCCCGCCGGAGGACTCATTCTGTCAGGAGGGGATAAAAATACATTTGAGGGCAGCGCTGTTGTCCTGAGCGTCAGACCCCGGGGCTTGGGTTCACATACGCCCTCCGCTCTGCACGCAGGCCCCGCGGGGGGCTCTGAGGAGGGGCCCGTGCTCCATGCTGGGCGGCTTCGCGGCGTTCCTCAGCATGTCAGGCTGCCGCCCTCAAACAGAGAGACAGACGCTTCCTGATTCCATCTTATCTGGGTTCGTGCCAGGTGTTCCTCACCTTGTGGGAAGGTGACCTCTGCTAAAACCCATCCGCTGGGGGCAGCGTGGCTGTCAGGAGGGAGAGGGAAGGGGGCAGAGGTGCAGGCATACAGAGTGCCAGGCGGGTACCCCGCGCCTCCGGAGCTTCTGTGGCCACTTCTGCTCCTGGCTGGGCCTGGCCGCTTCCCCTCTGCTTCCAAGTCAGGAGTTTCCCTATTTGTGTCGCCTGCAGACGAGCATTAGAGATGGCATAGCCGTCAGAGGTTTTTCAAATGCAGTGACACAGGCCCCGGCACTCTGTGTGTATCCAGGGGTGACCCAGGAAGCAGCATAAAGAAACCGTGGTTATCTCGGGGGCTTGCTGCCGAGGGCCTCTGCAGCCTCGTTTCTGCAGTTAGGTTTTCCTTGGTAGCCGTCAGGCCTCTGATGAGTGCAGTTGGGAGCTCCGTGGTCATAGCCCTGTCCGCCGGGTTCGGATGGGTCAGCAGTGACATCTTCTGGCCACTGGAGCACAGAGGTATTTAAAGTGAGTCCCCCTTGGACACTGCATATCCGGGGTCAGCCCCATGTGGAAATGGAAGATAGAGGTGTGGGTGTGTTTTATAAATCTCTGCAGTTCATATTTGCACACTAGCATAGCTGCGTTGTTACCTGGTGTGCACACACTCGTGCATACATGCATGCACACACACATACTTAGTGTCTCCCGTGTCTTTACAGTGCCTTGACCAGACTTGCTAACCATTTGTAAGATTAAAGTAGGTGACCTTCCCACAGGTATCATGGCCTCCTGGCATCATACAGGCTTCAGGATGAATTCCAGCTGCCTGTTGGCAGGTCTCTTTCTCTCAGCGAGTCCCTTGAGGGCGGCACCTATGTCTAGGACATGCTCAGCATGTTGTGGGGTTTAGCGATGTCTGCCGAATGAAATGTCTGTCGAATGAACAGCGGATCATAGGCCAGCAAATGACAGGACAAGACTGGCAGGGCTTGAGTTAGTTTCTTGCAAGAGAACAAGAGTGTTTAGGACTCCACGGCTTATTTGTCTTAAAAGGACAGAGGCTGGAATTTCACAGACTGTTCTTTTCTCTTTCAGCATGTGAAGACGGATATAGGCTTGAAAATGAAACCTGTATGAGGTAGGCTCCAGGTTCACTTATTATGATGCATTGGTTAGAAACTAGAAGCCTGGTGCACGAAATTTGTGCACTGGAGGCGGGGAGGTGTACCCCAGCTCAGCCTGCACCCTCTCCAGTCTGGGACCCTTTGGGGGATGTCCGACTGCCGGTTTAGGCCCAGTCCCGCCTAAACCGGCAGTTGGACATCCCTCTCACAATCCGGGACTGCTGGTTCCCAACCACTTGCCAGCCTGATCACCCCCAAACCATTCCCCTGCCAGCCCAACCACCCCCAACTGCCCTCCCCTGCTGTCCCAATTGCCCCTAATTCCCTCCCCTGCAGGCTTGGTCACCCCCAACTGCCCTCCCCTGCTGGCCTGGTCACCTCCAATTGCCCTCCCCTACCAGCCTGATCACCCAGAACTACCCTCCCCTGCCAGCCATCTTTTGGTGGATATCTTGTGCGAGGGCATGAGGGTCAATTTGCATATTACCTCTTTATAGGATTACTTAGTAAATTGCCCCAATGATTTCTTTTGAGGTTTGAGACTGATTCTTGTTCTTTTTCCTTGTTGACTTGCAGTTGCCCGTTTGGCCTTGGTGGTCTCAACTGTGGAAACCGTGAGTATGCAGAAGGAGCCAGTTCCGCATGGGCAGGGCCTGGTAGGGCTGTCAGCGAGCAGGGTGTCTGTCCCCTCCGCTCCTCAGTTCAGATCCGCTGTTCTCGCAGCCACTGTGCTGAGAGGTGTGTGGAAAGCAGAGCACTTGCTCTGCAGGGACTGAGGGCTGGTGGGGGAGATAAACACTTCCCTCAGCAGCCCCGGCTGGGAGTGTCGCTACAGTGAACTAAGTGTGAGGCGTGAGGCAGGCCGGGAGGGGCCGTGCCCAAGGAGAATCGAATCCCTGCTCCTGGGAGGGGATGGTTTGCAGGTTGTGGAAGGCTTTGGCAGTTCTGAAGGAGGCAGGAGGAAGAACAACTTAAAGGTGTTGGGGCAGCCTGTGCCGTGGTATTCGCTGGACAGCATGTATGTGGACATGGCTGAGGATAGAGGAAGAGGAAGGCGGAGAGTGGAGGACCAGGTTGGCAGAGGACAGGGGACCAAGCTGATGGGGGTTTGGATGGCCAGCCTGAGAGTATAGACTGATCCCTGTCTGTTGTGGAACTAGCAGGTCTTAGAGCAGGAAGGCAGTTCGGACAAGAAAATGAAGCTGGGCTGCGGTGAGGAGCACAGACTGGGCAGGGAGGGGAACATGACAGGGCGGAGACTCCAGCGCAGTCAGAGCTGGGGCTCAGGCTAGAATCTGCTTGTTGCTGGTCACGCACTGGAAGCACAGCGGGTAGGATGGCGGTAGCTAGCTGTGTGCATGCGTGGTGCGCGTCACACTTGATTTAGTTCTTTGAAAGAAAGCAGTTGTGATGAATTTGGAATCACTTTCACTGACATTTTCTTATATGGAAACCTGACAAATTGAATCACCCTCAAAGTTATGAAAGCTATTCTGGGGTGTAGGATGGAAAGGGAATAATAACACTCGGTGCTTCATTTTAAGATTACTTTGTCCTTGATTCTATAGGTAAACATTCCAACAGTGTTTACTTAGACCAAAAGTAAACACGATTTTTAAAAAAAATATGTATTTTATTGATTTTTTACAGAGAGGAAGGGAGAGGGATAGAGAGCTAGAAATGTCGATGAGAGAGAAAATTCGACCAGCTGCCTCTTGCACACCCTCCACCGGGGATGTGCCCTCAACCAATGTACATGCCCTTGACCGGAATCGAACCTGGAACCTTTCAGTCCGCAGACCGACGCTCTACCACTGAGCCAAACCGGTTTCGGCTAGACACAATTTTATCTAACGTAGGGGTGTCGAACTCAATCAGAGAAGGGGCCAAAATCTAAAATCCAGCCTAAATCGCGGGCCGAATGGTTTACTGAACAGTCATAAACTGTCATTGTGATGGAAACGCAGCGGAGTGCAGTGATGACAGCGCGGTGCGGGCCACATTGCAAGGCCTGGCGGGACGGATTTGGCCCGCAGGCCTTGTGTTTGACACATGTGATCTAACGTGTAATAGTCCTCACATCTGTTCCCCAGTGGCACACCTTGCATTTTATGTTCTCATAAACTTCCTTTGCTCGTAAACTTTCTTTTAGTAAGTTTCATTAAGTGCCTTTTTTGAACGTGAATAATACATTAAGTAAAATAAAACAAATTCAGTCCTGAGTACACACTCTCTGGGTGTAGTCATCGTGGAGTCACTTGAAGACCGGACCCTAGAGATTTGGGGTTAAATATCCATCTAGGACCGCTGGTAACTTCAGTCATCCGATTTATCCCAACTCCAGACTAGCAGAGGTTACAGTAGACCGTCTCAGAGAAAGACTGGAAGTGCTTCCAAAGCAACTATATTTAGTCATTCTGAACAGAGAGGGAGGAACCCACAGAATGAATGATTAACTTCTTTTAAACAGTAGCCACCTGCGGCCACTGAGTGGTGGAGTAAGTGGCCCGAAGGTCGTTAGCAGTTCCTAGGGGCGGCATGAAGCAGCTTGAAGTGCAGACGTTTGTTACGATGGACCGAGTCATCACACACCAAAGGTGCTCCGTGTCACTGTGACCTGATTTTTACTCCCAACACTTCTAACGTCAGATATGTGGGTTTTCCTCCCCTCGGAGTTCTGACACCCCTCAGACCTCACAGGTGAAGGGCTGAGTCCCACAGGACACCCCCCACTCAGACACCAATCCCGTGTCCAGGCCTCTGGGACTCAAGACCAATCAGCCGTAAATCGGGTTCCCTGGCCCCCCCTCATCAGATTCAGTACTTTGCTAGAACATAGAGAATCCTTAAACTGGTCAGGGAGAGAGGAGTGGTTTGCACCCAAGAATAAACCAGACAAGACCTAGGACTTTTTCAATGTGGGAAACGGAGGCTGAGCAGTCAGGTAAAACATGTAAGATTCCTGAGACTCGTTTCGCCAAATGCTGCGATGCCAGCACCGAAGGGCATGGTCTTTAGAAGAGATGGTGGTGGGGCCCACAGGAGTGATTCCAGCACTAGCCTGCGGGCCTTGTCCTAAGACAGTGGTCGGCAAACTCATTAGTCGGCAGAGCCAAGTATCAACAGTACAACGATTGAAATTTCTTTTGAGAGCCAATTTTTTTAAAACTTAAACTATATAGGTAGGTACATTGTTATTAACTTATTTAGGTTACGCCTAAGCTGGCCTTTGCTAAAAACTCAAGGGGCCAAAGAGCCGCATGTGGCTCGCAAGCCGCAGTTTGCCGAACACTGTCCTAAGACATTAGACGGATTAAAAACAGAGAGCCGTAGATAACATGAAGAATCATTTAAGCAAGGGAGGAGATCACAACAGAGTTGCATCACATTCGTATGGAATATAGTCCTGTCAGTTGGCAAAGAGTCTGTGAGCAAGAGGAGAGGAGTGTGGGCGAGGCGTGTGGAGCTGCAGCAGCCGTGGGGGGAGCCAGGGATTAGGAGGGGAGAGAGGCCACCTGCCCCGTCCTCCTGACAGGCTCTCACAGAATGAGCCAGTGACTTGGACCCGCTTTGGTCAAACAGCTTCTCAAAACATTTTTACCCGAGAATGCTTCCTACTTCTCAGAGAAGGGAAGAGTGAGCCTTAGAAGGGGAAGTGGACGTAAGGAAAGCCCTCTAGCGGTGGAGGAAAGGGGAGTGAGTGCACGGCATTGTCCTAAGTGGCAGCTAGTGGTCCCCCTATCCTCTCCCCGTCTCCCCCTGGGATTATTAAATACGATAGGTGCCTGGAGATGACAAACCCCTACATCCATGGGCTGTTCTGTAAGTTTCTGTGTCTCCCCATTTTGTGTGTGGGGTCTTGGAAGTAGCCAGGATTTCTTTCTGGCCTGGGACTTTTTTCTGTTTATCCAAGTTGCTCTCATGTCCAGCAGGGGGCACACTGCTTTCTGGATGGAGCCTAGCTCCCGGCCACCTTTTGTCGGTGACGCATGTGTGTGAACTCAGTGATGGCCTGTAAATACCACTTTATGATGTTGACAGCTGTATTGATGTTAGTGTTGCCAGGCAACTAGCAGGGGCTGATAACAAATAGTATCTGCCACCTGCTCCGTTCCCGGAGTCCGAGACCAGCCCTGGGCGTGGGTGAAGGAATCAGGAACACCTGAACTTCATCCCCGCCTGAGGCCATGGCGCCTCGGAAATCTGGCTTGCCACTCAGTGTTCTGTGCCAAACACCAGGGCTCTGACCACTCTGCACTGCCACTTCTGTCATCCAGAGGCGGCGAGTGCCTCTGGGGGCTGTGCTTGGGCTGGGCTTTTGTAGACGACAAGTGCTTGCTCTCTCTGCATCCTTGGGGTACACATCTTGCCGAAGCTCAGTGAGTCAGGCGCCCAGGTTTGTCCAGCCAAGCCATGGCCTTGAGCCTCCCTCACGCCTACATTCCTGGGAGTCGTCCACTGTATTCTGGGGTTCTGCATATCCTATGACCTGTCTGTCCAATTAGCTCTCTAGGTGTGTCCAGATCGCACGCCTCGTTCCTCACAGGGAATGTCCTTCAGACTGCGAGGGCAGTTGGAGCCCTTCTTTCACGTCCCTTAGTCCTGAGGTGGCGAGGGCCCAGCAGGACTCCCGTGTGCTCCTGGCAGGGCCGCCCACACCTGGCAGCTCAGGGAGGCACCTTTCTCATCACTGCCCTCCTTTGGATTATGTTCCCACGTCAACCGTCTCTATTTCTACCCCAGATTCCAGCAGTCCTTGGGCCACGTGTCCACCGGCCCCATTCCTCTTACAGGCTTGCTGTGAGGATGCCCCCTCGTCCTTCCCCGGCTGCTCCACCTTTTCCTCGGTGCGCATGCTCCCTCCTGTGCTTGAGTTTCATACTGGCTCCTCCTCGCAGTTTTATTCTGTCTCCCATGACATCCCGGTTTCTCTTTTTAAAATACATATTTTTTCATAACACGAAACAACACATGCCCATTGGTTTTAATATTTATCCCATGTTAATTAGAAAATACATATAAATTCAGGGAAGAAGAAAGCTGAACGAAACGGTGTCATCATCCGTGAAACATCACGGGTCTGCGTCCTTGCTGCTAAGTGTGGGTGGACCCGCAGCCGCAGCAGCTCCAGGAGCTGTTAGAAACTCAGAGTTTCCACCTCCTCCCCCGCCCCCCCCCCACCCCAATCCTGCTGCAGCAGAACCTGGACTTTAAGTGAATTCGGTTAATATGCAGATTCATATGCATTTCCAAGTTTGAGAAGCACTGGTGTTCTGTATCTGCCCAGCGTTATGTATGGAATTGGATCTCACCGAAGGTGCTATTTGTAACCAGCTATTAAATGAGTAAACTGTGCAGCATTTTCATTCACCTACCTTTATACTGTCCCTTTCCGTACTCTGCGGCATGCTGCTCTGTGGATTACCATCATAAACTTACCCTTCGCTGGTTACCCTCTTTAAGTCTGTCTTACAGGTCCATCCTCTGAGCCATCTTCCTTTCTGTGCGGAGGGTCCCTCCCTCCCGCAGATTCCTACCCAGCCGCCCCGCGAGGCCAGCGCCAGCGGGGAGTGAGAGGTGCACAGGGCAAGGTAGGGGGAAGGGGTGCACAGCT